CAGGAAATGAAACCTAATGAGGCACAATTTAGCTTCGTGGGGGCAAGAAATGGTACCCCGCCAAGCTTGTACAAGCCACCTTGCCAAGACTTGTGAATTCTTGTAGCCGAATGGCTCACGTGTACTATTTCGCAGCTCTGCAAAAGTTTACAGGTTTCACTGAGACCTGTTACTTAACATGAGCTAGCAAAGGGAACCAACGAGGGCAAGATGCCCCTCCCAAACCAAATTGCGCCCCTAGTAATCATGCAAGCAATTATCTCTATAAAAACCTATATTTTCGCCGTTCGTTGGAATGGAGGAAAGTAATAGCGAGAGAGTAGAGGGGTCCAATGAGGGCTTGGATCCTCGGAACTTTCCCAGTCAATGAATTAACTGTTTTAATTTCATAAGAATGCTGAGATGTAGGCGAAAGGGACTCGAACCCAGGACGGACACGAGCCCGCATCCCCACACGGGTGGTTGCGTTATCCATTACGCTACAGGGCTCTTACCCTCTCAGCCTCTAATCTCAGTTCAGCCCCAAACCTGAAGTAATATCTAAGAAATACTGCGCTCGACACAATCTTTATCTTTGAATTATGAGATAATGTGTGCAGAACAGCTTAAATGGCCACCCTTTGGTCCAAACCATCAATCACCTTGCCCGACGCAGGGTAAGCCAAATAATCCTACCGTTTCTAAGAGGCAGGTCACTGGAAAGAGTAGAAGGGGGCTATCTGTTCCGTAAATTTGGATATAAGGAATTTTAAAGGGTAATTAGTCCAGAACTCACCGTAGTTTCATCTTCATGAAGCACTTGGTCGTACTCGGACATGGCAACACAGAAGATTATTGCTGTTACGTCTTCGAAGCAGTGAATCCATTTTTTCCGCTCCGATCGTTGACCACCCACATCGAATAACCTGAAACGGGCAACATTGGCGTTCTGGACAACTCCCACATACACTGCGTTCCATAATAATAGTTCCACCCATAAATCTCATAAAAATCCTGTGGGTGGAACTATCATTATGGGGTGCTGAAAAGCGATCAATAAAGTCAGAAAAATCAACAAATGTAGTACAAGCCAAGACACACCATGGCCAAGAGGAAAACTGACCGTTGTTGGTCCGCTCCGTTCCACACCACCAGCGCCTCTAATACAACTCCCCTTCTTTCATCGACAAAAATATCTTATTTTCGTCCAAACACCTACTTGATTACCTGTTCTAAGCCACAACTGACGCTCCGATCCGAGGGAGGAGAGGGGAGTTTAGATGGTACCGTCAGAGCGCGGTGTCAGGAGGCGTGGAATGAAAATGAATCCATCCACGTTTTCTACCAATAGCAGCCGCATCAGTTGGAAAACAACCAATGAAAGAAAACCCCTTGGGTGGGCTCATTCCACGCCTCCTGATTCCGCCCCGCCAGATTGCGATGATATCACTTACTACGGTATTAAGGATTCACAAAACGGAGAAGCATCTATTTTCTAGTAATTTCCAATTGCGTGCCTCACCCCATAAGCTAAATAGCAATAACTCCCTAGAAAAACGTTTTCTAGCAGAGAGAGGGAAGGAAAATATAGTTGACACTGTCTCCAATAACTTGAATATGACCTCACTGCCGGCGGTTTACTCCTACCTACCAATTTTTTTGATAAATCGCAGCTTGGAATCTGACTTCTGATCAAGGAAGCAATGATCACGAAGAGAGACGCAGAACATGTTTTCGTTTTCTGAGAGCCTATATCCGACCAACGACCACCCTCCCTTTCTTTCACACAAGCATCTCATGTACGAGGGCGCATGGTCGTTTTCGTTGTCGTCTGCCCCTTCAACGACTGGTGGAGAACGGACCAGCACCGCGCTAAACCCAGCTCCCCTCTAGCGCCATCGTATGCAGCAAAAACGACAAGTGTGGCGCCCCGATGTGTGAAATGGCGGTCATTGCAATCCCCCGGGAGGGTCTACCGTACGACCCCCTTTTCGGTAACATCCCCCTTCCCCAACAAATAAGGGGAAGGTATATAGCAAATGTGAAACGGGAAAAACCGCGAAAGGTCAACAACCGGGAAAAATTTTTGCCCAACGCGGCACTTTTCTCAAAGGCACATATGTCCTCCCTCTCCCAATAACGACCAAATACAACCCTCCCCCCACCCCAGCGGTTAAGTACGACCCCTCCCCCATGTGTTTCGCACAACGATGCTCTACCCTGACCATAATACCGCGTTAGAAGGGCTAGAATATTTTTTGGTTCCTCCCGTCTCGGAATTCCCACCCATTTCGCAATAAAACACAGACTCCCACGTAGCTTCTCAACAAGCAATCCCTTCCTAAACAGTCAAATACGACTGCCTTCCCGGGCACTCAGAAACTACATTTCCAGGGATTTTTCAAGGAAGATGTGGCCTATTGAATATGGAGCACAATGCCACAAATAAGGAACACAAACTTAGAAAATCGCCACAAAACTCACTTGAAGTTTAGATTTTTGAATGTGAAATGAACTTCGACGATACCGGTAGTTTTGACACGGGTTCGGAGAATATCCTGCTCTGTCGGCTGATAACTCGCTTCACCTAATCGCTCTAGATCATCTAGGAAGCTGGAATAAATAGCATTTGGGAGCCTGTTTTGAAGTTTTAGCGAGACCTTCCAGTCATGAAAACATACTATTTGGCCGAATCATTGAGCTGATACTCGTTGCTTCGAGCAAAGCATTCTTGTACACCACTGTCTGCCCACAGCCTTTTCATCGCTGACAGTAATTCCTCACTGAAATATGCCGGATACGGTAATGCCATATGGGGTACGGTAGGGGCACCGCCAGAATCGTAGGACTCACCTGAACGGCTCTGTGTCTTCCATTCGGGCGACAACATCCATAACGAGTTTCGCATCTACCTGTAAATGACTCCTTTTAAAACGAGGCTGACGAACACCGAAATATGAAATTTCACAAGGGAAAGGGGAGGGGGGGGTCCTTTTATTCGCCAGTAATAATGACCTCTATTTCCGATAGGCGTTGTTCGGTTTGAGAGGGGCGCCTTACACTTTGCGATGGTTATTTTTCTAGTTCATGGTACTCACAGGTTCCAATTTGGTGAGACCCGTAAATTTTGTGAAGCTACAAATTGTTACAAGTGAGCCACGGTGGTTACAAGTATTAACAGGTATTAACAAGGTGTTCTGTACAGGCTGTGTACCATTTGTTACCCCCATCAAGCCGAACAACGCCCGTATTCATTAAATAACGCTCTAGAATATTCTCCAAATTCTTCTGATTAAACGAATGAGCCCAGAGCTGGAACTTCCATTCCACTCATTTCTTTTTTCTTCTGTTCTATTTCCTGGTCCAATCCCTGCCCTTTCCATGGGACCTCTTCTTTCACTAGCTCGGCTTCCGCCTGGCATTTCAATTGTCGGTTCCGCCCTGGCCGTTTCGATTGGACTGCACCAAAAAGACAGCACACCCTGTGATAATTGAAGGGTATACACCTCGAAACATTAGGAGCCATGCTTCCCGTCTCCCCCATATGCAAAAAATTTTCATCAGCCAGTCAATTGGAATGTGCCATTAGCGTACTGAAATTGTGCTAGTGCCCATGTTTCATCCAATGCCTGTTACGCCCCTCACGGAATTCGGACCACCCAATTTAAGGTGGCCCCGCACCGCAGCAATTGTGTATCGTGTAATGCATTAGTCTGGCTTAAGGCGCGCTGGACATAATCCTGTGCGCCACTAAACCCCGGGCCAACCTAGCGAACATGTGGAAAAACTAATCACATGAAAGTCCGGCCGGTATTACTACAGATGAATGTTAAGCTTCGGACAACAGATTCTACTGGGCAAAAGATTTGGCCCTAGCCAGAAGTTGAACTCTGGTTAACTTCAAGCCTTTACAGGGGACTACGCGTGAATGACTTATGAGCCTCACCCCTGCGAACACCCTTTCCTTCTGCAAGCCTTTCCTACCTTTTAGTTTCCTTGTTCAAAAATGAGATATATGAAATCGGACTGTATTCAGATGCCACGCCCTAAAACCAGCCCGTTGCTCCTCCAATAACACTTGAGCAGTAAATTATCACGCACGACGAGCAGCTGACGCGGAGCTGAGGGAGCGATGGGGGGCAGCTTCGCACTCCGCAGCCATCGAGAGAGCCATTCATAAGCCTTCACAAGAGTGACGCGTTTCCCATCATGGTGGCTAGACGAGCTTGCTCCAGCTTCACAAGAACCACACAGCTTTCACTAGAGCGGGACTTGTGAACCGGAACTAGTGAAAGTGAAGGTACAAAGTATCCCCCCCCCCCGTCGCCGAACAACGCCTCCATGGCCTCCTCTCACGGGAGTGCTAATCCAAGAAAATCCCTTTGGGGTTTTCGCTTTCTTTTTTGTCAAAGCTCCTCCTTTGGCATGCAAATGGGTTTTGCTTCAAAAAGCGCGGGGGGTGAGGGATGTGGGAACTTTTTTTTTTTCCCTCTTGAAAGAGCCCATTTTCCCCATTTTTTTGGGAATTTTCAAACCACGCAATTTTGCACCAGTTGTTTTTCTCTTCGGGTTTTCGAACGGCCCTCAATTTTTTTGGGGGTTTGTTCCCACGCCACCTCATTTAGGAAAAACTCGCCTGCTTCTTTTACACTTTTTTGGTTTCTTGTTTTTTTTTAACGGGTAAGGAATCCGGGCCAAAAAAGGAATGGCGATCTTTTGAGCTTAGGGGCAACGTGCAGGGATTTCATCATTCGGTCCAAACGAAAGCATGGCGCTTACCTGCAGCTCTGCAGCCTTATACAAGAGGCAGGCCTTTAATGAGAATCTCTCTCCGGAAATGAGCTCTGAGCTTCCACAAAGAAGGTATTGCACGTCACCCCCGCTGGAGCTGCTTCCAGTATCGATTCTCCATGCTTACCCACACGAAGACGTGAATTTACTTTTGTTTTTCAGAAGCCATAACCCGCTTTAAGCGTATTTAGTACCTCAATCCTTCGATGGTCCCCGCCCAGATGCCGATTTGGCACCGATACATAAGCAAGTCAGTCAACCGCTGCCGTCGCCGCCACGGATGCCGATCTCAGGCAGGATCGATTGAGGCGTTTCTCGCAGGCTGCTCGTGTGCTAGTCGTATGTCTCTGGCGTCTAACTGGTACTCGTGCTCCCTTCGTTGGCCGTCCAGCTCGTCGCGCCACCCCATCTCCGCCGTCCGCCGTTCGCACACGCTGCCTCACGACAACGACCACGGCTCACGCACTCTACCCATTAAGACGCTTCAATCACATCACACCAGCTTCCTTCAATTATTCCCTTTCGAACAAACGATAACGTCATGGAAGGTGGTCCCTCTGGATTTATTTATGGTCAAAATTGTAGGCTTCAATTTGAGCAGCAGCTAATGGTGTCATGCTCAATGAGCCGCAAGAGATGGCCAGATCGTTTCCCCGAAAACTCGCGTTTGAAAACAAACATGCCCGAACTACACACTAATCAAGGAAAGAAACCCTATGGACACAGCTCTCCGGGAAATAAGCAGGAAAGGTGAAAACTGACCGTTTTTGGTCTGACTTTAAAGACAACCACAGATAATGACAAAAGTATGAAAATAAGACAAAAAATACTACCGTAAACAAGACTAACCTCTCGTTCCGAAGAGCCAAACGGCACCGAAAGATTGGCCATAGCCCGAAGTATAGCCACTAGTGATTGGACCGTATTACTGTAGACAACAGGTTTATACTGTTTATAATCTTCAGCCTGTGAAACAGATCATGAAGATCCTGAAATTGAAATGTGAGAAAACCTTATCACCAAAATACGACGCAGAAGTCCTTGAAATAATGCACACCAAATGGTTGTCCAAGGGGGGACGGGGTTACACCCAACGGCAAGTAAGTAAGTTGGCCGTCGGGACCTTTGGTGCTAGGGTCAAGATACGGAAGCCAGGACTGCGCTTTAGCTTCATAAGATGCGTAGTGTTTTACCAACCTAAGACTCTCTTTCACATTTCCACGACATTACGCCCCGTGAGTGAGAGAGCATGTGAACAGAAGAGGGGGGATTGGAGCACAACCCTTTAAGGGGTAACCCCTTCATAGAACGGAGCTATCCCTCACTGCAAGCGCTTAACCCGCATCGTTGACATACGGCGCTGGGAAAGAGGAGTACGAACGTTGAGGTGAGACTTACAGTCGCCATCTTTGTTGGGGATCCGGCGAGGGTCGTGTCTGTCGCCCAAGGAGAGAGGCTTCGTGCTATTGGGTGACAAATTTTTTCCAATGGTTGATTTTTCTTGTTGGCAGGGACCGTGTGAAAGAGGGGAAGGAAGGTATAACGCCAACCACCCAAGAAAAGGAGGGGTCTTACGGAAATCGACCAAAATATCCAACCAATGATGTGCCTTACCTTGCCTTACTTACAGTGAAGAAGGCAATAACAAGTTCCAAGGGGGACTCGACAACAAATCAAAATTTATTCAGAATAGCAAGCCTTCGAGCATGGTCAGGTAGCGGTAAGACAAGTCCTGATCGATGAAGATTCTTAGGGCTGCGCCTTTCTCGGAAGGAATAGCAGTGCTGGGCGTCATGTCCACGTTGCGGCGGAGCAAATCCACGTTGTCACACGCGCGGCATTCGCACCACGGTTGAGGATTTCTATGAGGAGTCGCCCACTCCTACCCTCTTGTCGCCGATGCTGTCATTTTACTGTTTCAAGTAGGTGATTTGGGATGTTTACATCTCCCCCTCGCTCGACGAATATTGAGGGAGGATCGCATGCAGAAAAAAATTTTATTCGACCAGCGCGTGACTCATCTTGATGATTTGGTCTTTGGAACCGACGATAGATACGGTACATGCTTTAATGAATTCGTGTACATCGCGACTTGGAGGTTCAAGTCAAGTCTTTGCGGAGGAGGGTTGGGGGGAAGTGGGGACGAGGGCGACCCCACATTAGACTCAAGTTTTTTTAGTGCTTAAACGTTCAGAAGCTTGGACGTCATTGAATGCATCCATCCGAAGCTACCTAGTGGAGTGTTTCAGAAGCCAATCATGCAAAAGAATATCCGTCTCATTAGGAAACGGTAATTCCCCTATGGGACCGTTGACCTCATTCTTTCAGTGGAACTACACATTTCCATTTGTTTTGTTTGAAGAAAAGCTGTTAAGGGAAGCAAAAACACAGAGCACTGGCTCTTCCATGTTTGTCCCCCCCCCTACGAGGTTTTGTTTCCCCTCCAAATCTCTCGCTAGCATTTCGCACCGAAAAAGGCATTATTTCTTCTGGAAGGTCCCTTTGCCCTTTTCACATCGTAGAAACTTGCACTTTTCAGATACACATACTAGCGAACGACATGAAAAAAAACATTCTCTCGGGCTGATGACGTCTTCATCGAAAAAAATGCTTTTACTAGTTAGTTAGAAAAACAACTATGATGTGACGTCAGACGTTCTCAAAGTAAACATGCAAAAGATGACAGAATGAAGACTTAAAGGCAGGTGGCACGATAGATCGACAAGACGAACTGGGTAAATGCGCATAGCACGAAAGAATGTTCTGCCCCTGAGCGCGCGTAAGTGGCGCTTCTTCCAACCAGGGGTGCCCTTATAGCGCCTAACTAGGGTGCAACATGCCGACTTAGACGCCCACCCGGCCCACAAAGGGCCGTGCAGCCACATCTATGCTGATACTCTTATCGCTTCAGAGTACTAGCGATATACGGCTGCGATGCTGCATGGATATATAGTCTAGTTCACTGCAGACGAAGGGGCGTGTCAGGCGGGATGAATTTGGCGCGGTGCCAGACCACTTCTCCACCGGTTGTTGAAGCGAGCAAGTGACAAGGCTGCACATATCGTTCGTATCAGTCGTCTTCTACAAAATGAAATGTTGCCGC